CAGTGTTCCCTCGCTACTTTGTGGTTCGCTTATTTCGGACTCGCTCTTTCACGGGGAGCAGCGAGGGAACACTGTATAGCTGCTCCCTGTTACTTCCTCGCCACACTGGGCACCCAAGGGGTCTCCAAGGGTGGGGAGCAGCCCCTACCCCGCCTCGGAGACTCCTTGGATGCCCAGCCTGGCGAGGAAGGGGCCTTTGAGGCAGGGAGCCGTGGAGGTGGCAAGGAGGAGGAGGCCACCACGAAGTAGGGACACTCCCTCAAGTGGCCGGAGCACCGTATAGACTTTCCCATCTTTTCCATCTCCGGCATCTGGAGGCTGTGCTCAACTCTGGCCACAGGGTGGTGCTGTTGCTTTGTTGTCCATACACGTCCTCCCAATTGAATCGCCAGCATGTTCTTACGGGCGCCTCTATTACCTCCCCGCTAATAGTGGCACCCACCTCCTCCTGAGAAAAATGTATAATATCACAAAGGACTATGACCTCACCCTCCTCATAGGAAACCTGCTACAAAACAGGAGCTTTTTTGTTGAGTTCCAGGGCCAGAGAAGCAGATGGCGGAAACAGAAGAACGGCCTGCCTCAGGGGAGCGTGCTTGCTCCATCTATGTTCAACATCTACACAAATGACCAGCCACTGCCAGAAGGGACAGAGAGTTTCATCTATGCTGATGATCGTGCCATCACCGCTCAAGCAGGGAGCTTTGAGATGGTTGAACAGAAGCTCTCCGAAGCTCTAGGTGCTCTTACTGCCTATTACAGGGAAAACCAGCTGATCCCTAATCCATCTAAAACACAGACATGTGCTTTCACCTTAAGAACAGAGAAGCATCCCGAGCTCTGAATATCACCTGGGAAGGAATCCCACTGGAGCATTGCAGCACACCCAAATACCTGGGAGTCACTCTGGACCATGCTCTGACCTACAAGAAGCACTGCCTGAATATCAAGCAAAAAGTGGGTGCTAGAAACAATATCATACGAAAGCTGACTGGCACAACCTGGGGATCACAACCATCACAGTGAAGACATCTGCCCTTGCGCTATGCTACTCTGCTGCTGAGTATGCATGCCCAGTGTGGAACACATCTCACCACACTAAAACAGTGGATGTGGCTCTTAATGAGACATGCTGCATTATCACGGGGTGTCTGCGCCCTACACCACTGGAGAAATTACACTGTTTAGCCGGTATCGCACCACCTGACATCCGCCGGGAAGTAGCAGCCAATAGTGAAAGGACCAAGGCAGAGACATCTCCAGCTCATCCCCTGTTTGGGTATCAGCCAGCACGTCAATGACTTAAATCAAGAAAGAGTTTTCTAAGATCTACAGAGACACTCGCTGGAACACCTCAGCAAGCGAGAGTCCAAAAGTGGCAGGCTCAAACCCAGAACCTCAACCAATGGCTGATACCAAATGAGAGACTCCCCCCTGGGCACACAGAAGACTGGGCGACTTGGAAGGCGCTGAACAGACTGCGCTCTGGCACCACGAGATGCAGAGCCAACCTTCAGAAATGGGGCCACAAAGTGGAATCCACAACATGCGAGCGTGGAGAAGAGCAAACCACTGACCACCTGCTGCAATGCACCCTGAGCCCTGCCACATGCACAATGGAGGACCTTCTTGCGGCAACACCAGAGGCACTCCAAGTGGCCAGATACTGGTCAAAGGACATTTAATCCACTACCAAACTCACACATTTTGTATTTTCTCTGTTTGTTTGCTTTGTTCTGTTAGAAATGTAATATAATTGACTGGCTGCCCTGACACGAGAAATAAAAATAAATAAATAAAAAGTGTGCATAGGAATCTACTCACGTTACTGTTTTCGATCTGCTAACGGTGGGAGCTCACCCCAACCCAGGCTTGAACTGCCAATTTTTCAGTCAGCAAGATTTTCTACAGTTGGTGGTTTTACCCGTTGTGCTAAAGCCTGGCCCAATAATAATAATAATAATAATACTCCAGCCAGAGATCATCATCACCATCACCATCATCCTGTGCTGGCAGGATTGCTGACCAAAAGGTCAGCAGTCTGAATCCAAGAAATGGGATGAGCTTCAGCCACCATGGCTCCCAATGCCATATATGAATAATAGTAATAATAATAATAATAATAATAATAATAATAATAATGCTCCATCCAGAGAGAACCAATATTATGAATGGGAGAAACTTCTCAGACTCACAACTTAAGGCAAAATTATTTTCCAATGCCTAACAAAACAAATATATAGGTTCTTGTGGGTTTTTTTGGGCTATAGAGCCATGTTCTAGAGGCATTTCTCCTGACGTTTCGCCTGCATCTATGGCAAGCATCCTCAGAGGTGTGAGGTCTGTTGGAATTAGGACAATGGGTTTATATATCTGTGGAATGGCTGGGGTGGGGCAAGGAGCTCTTCCCTGCTGCAGTTAGGTGTGAATGTTTAGCTGATCACCTTCATTAGCATTTGAAGGCCTGCCTGAGTCTGGGAAAATCTGTTGCTGGGAGGTGTTAATCTGTGCCTGGTTTTTTCCTCTCTGTTGTTTAGCTGTTATAATTTTAGAGTTTTTTAATACTGGTAGCCAGATTTTGTTCATTTTCATGGTCTCTTCCTTTCTGTTGAAATTGTCCACATGCTTGTGGATTTCAATGGCTTCTCTGTGTAGACTGACATGGTGGTTGTTGGTGTGGTCCAGCATTTCTGTGTTCTCAAATAATATGCTGTGTCCAGGCTGGTTCATCAGGTGCTCTGCTATGGCTGACTTCTCTGGTTGAAGTAATCTGCAGTGCCTTTCATGTTCCTTGATGCATGTCTGGGCGCTGCGTTTGGCGGTCCCTATGTAGACTTGTCCACAGCTGCATGGTATACAGTAGACTCCTGCAGAGGTGAGAGGATCCCTCTTGTCCTTTGCTGAACGTAGCATTTGTTGGATTTTCTTGGTGGGTCTGTAGATAGTTTGTATGTTGTGTTTCCTCATCAGCTTCCCTATGCAGTCAGTGGTTCCCTTGATGTATGGCAAGAACACTTTTCCTCTGGGTGGATATTCGTCTTTATTCTTGTGGCTTGTTCTCGGTCTTGCAGCTCTTCTGATGTCTGAGGTGGAGTATCCATTGGCCTGGAGAGCCCAGTTGAGGTGGTTCAGTTCATCTTGGAGGAGGTGGGCTTCGCAGATTCTTTTTGCACGGTCTGCCAAGGCTTGAATGGGGCTTCTTTTTTGACTTGGGTGATGGTTGGAGTTTTTGTGTAGATATCTATCTGTGTGTGCGGGTTTTCTGTAGACGGTGTGACCCAATTGTTGATCTGGTTTGCGGATGACTAGGACATCTAGAAAAGGCAGTCTTCCTTCATTTTCTTTTTCCATGGTGAACTGGATGTTTGGGTGGATGCTGTTAAGATGGTCCAGGAACCTGTTGAGTTCTTCTTCTCCATGGCTCCAAATGGTGAAGGTGTCATCCACATATCTGAACCATAGTGGGCTTTTTGGTTGCTGTTTCCAGGGCTTGTTTTTCAAAGTGTTCCATGTAGAAGTTAGCTATGACCGGGCTGAGAGGGCTCCCCATAGCTACTCCATCTTTCTGTTCGTAGAATTCATTGTCCCACTGAAAGTAACTGGTGGTAAGGCAATGGTGAAACAGAGCCGTGATGTCTTCTGGGAACCTCTGGTTGATGAGTGCCATGGTGTCTGCTACCGGGACCATGGTAAATAGAGATACCACATCGAAGCTGATCAGTTTGTCGTTTGTATTTATAATAATAATAATAATAATAATAATAACAGTAATCTATTCTTGTGATCACAACATTTTTTGGCGTTACCTTGAAGGCATGTGTAGATGACCTCCGGCCTAGTCTCCACATAGGCAGCGGTGGGATCAAAGTAGCAGATGTTTTCTATAAGTTCCCCATCAAGTTTCTGTAGGGAAACGGTTAAAGGGAAAAGAAAACAAATAAACACAAGAGACTGCGATGAATGGCTCAGGCAGAGGGTATATTTGGGAAGCCAGTTTAGGAGTTTGAAAGCAAACGAGGGCAGGGTTACTTTGCATTTACGCCCAGAGATAAAAGCAGGATATAAACGATAGTGATAGGAAGAAGAAGAAGAGAATGACGAAGAGGAGGAGGAGGAGGAGGAAGGAAGGAGAGAAGAAGAGAAAGGAGAAAGGAAAAAGAAGGAAAGAAGGAAGAAAAGAAGAAGAAGAAGGGAGAGGGAGAAGAAGCTGGAGGAGAAGAAGACGAGGAAGAAGGAAAGGAGGAAAAGAAAGAATAAGGAGTGTGGTGGAGGCTCCTTCTTTGGAAGCTTTGAAACAGAGGCTGGATGGCCATCTGTCAGGGGTGCTTTGAATGCAATATTCCTGCTTCTTGGCAGAAGGGGGTTGGACTGGATGGCCCATGAGGTCTCTTCCAACTCTATGATTCTATGATTCTAAGAGATGAGAGGAAGAGGGAGAAGAAGAAGGTGGAGAGGAGGAAGAGAAGAAGTAGAAGAGAAAGAAGAAAAGGAAGAGAAGGAAGAAAGAAGAAGAAAAGAGAAAAGGTGGAGGAGGAGGAAGAAAAGAAGGGGAAGAAGAGAAAGAGGGAGAAGAAGAAAGATGAAAAAAGAGAAGAAGGTGGAGGAGGAGGAAGAGAAAGAAGGAGAAGGAATAGAAAAAGGTGGAGAAGGAAGAGAAGAAGGAGAAGAAGAGAAAGAAGGAGAAGGAGAAGGAAAAGAAAAAGGTGGAGAAGGAAGAGAAGAAGAGAAAGAAGGAGAAGAGAAGGAAGAAGGAAGAGAAAGGAGAAGAAGGGGGTGGAGGAGAAGAAGAGGTAGAAGAGGAGGAGGAAGAAGACTCTAAATCTCAGCTTATTTGAAAATTGTTCTAGGACACTGTTTAGGATGTGTTGGATGGGATACAACTTAAACATATCACAAGTGTGTTAACATGAGACATTTAATATGTGAACATGTTACATTTCTTGAGAGGAGAGCTTCCCCTGAAGCTCAGAGACTGGGCCTAGAAAGCTAGAAAGACCTCCATCTTCTTCCGAAGAGACCTTGTGCCGGGATTGCGTTCTTCTTGGGTGTGCTTCTCACCTGGATGCAGCATTCCCAGTTCTCCACAGCCTCCGTACTGGCCCACTGTGGGTACAGCACCAGCAGGACGCACTTCAGGATGGTGTGCACCAGAGGCGGCGGCTGCTCAAAGCACCGGATGTCGCCGAAGGAGTCCCAGGGGTCGAGGTTCCAGATGCAGTTCTGCAGGTCCTGGAGCATGAAGCGGTAGAAGAGGACCCCGCCACGCCGCCAGTCCCCAACGTACTCCGCCTCTGCAACGGGACAACGCGTGGAAGGGATGCTCATTGCAAGGGGAACACAGGAGGAGAGGAGAGAGTGACAGGCAGACAGAGAGTGACGAGTTGAGCATGCCTCCCCTCTAACAAGGGATGGTGACTTATAGTTCTGCAAAGGACAAAGGTACCAGACTGCACAATAGGGCTTAAGTCTTGGTCAATTTGCCAAGGCCTTAACAACAATGAGGACCCCATGAAACTTCGGGAATAGCTAGACCTTGGGGTCTCTGCCTCTCTCGGGAGCTGTAGTTCTCCAAGGACGGGGAGCAAAGCTTGCTTCCAGAGACACCAGGTCCATTTGGGCCACTCAAGAACTCCTGCCAGGACCTTGCGTTTTAGCCATCCCCTATGGACACTCTTTCCCCCCACATGGACAAACCTTATGAAATCTTGCTTTTTATGAACTTTAGATATATGAAATGTGTTTTCTGATTTCTTTGTGTGGCAGAAGGCTTTCCCCTATATACATGAAGAAACTCCACCAAAGGGACTACAAAGCCCCAAACATTCCAGGAATTTTTTATCCACAACTTCCTTTTGCATGAACAATAGCCTGGGCAGCTGGTGGCCCTCGGAGGAATTGCCCAGCCCTCAGCTTGCCCCTTTGGCAAAAATCTTAATCATATTTCCTCCTGAAGGACAAAAGGTCCTCGAAAAAACCTTTTGCCTTCACTCTGATTATTCATTCCACTCAAAGCACAATAGATCAGGCTGGCTTGAGATTTCCCCTTTGTCTCGCCAGCCACATGGCATGGCATTTCCTTTGTTTACTCCTTTCCCAGATTCCTTTGTGCTCCCTCATCCCGCCTCCATCTCTCCTGATTGGCTGTCGCCACCAGGTGGCAAAGGTCTCCCCATTGGTTCCTACGGACCACTGGAGCCCATCGCCCAATCATGGCAGGGAATAACAGGGAAGCCGGGGCGGGGAGTTTGAACTCTGCAACTTTGAATTTGCTATAAATATGACTGTATTGGTGTATTCCCCTCATGCTTAGCTTTGGCGAATTATTGCAGCTTTGCATCCGTTTCAGCTGAATCGCATTAAACCTCGATGGCTTTTCTTCAACTGGTGAGACTTTTCATTGGGAAATCAGGGAAAAATATGGGATGCTTCTCTGTCTCGCCAGGGAAAAAAAACTCTTTGATGAGTCTAATTGGTCTCTGCCTCCTGGCAAAGACCCCTAAATTTTAGCTCTAGATCAAGAGGACAATGGGGAAAGGGCTCTCCCTGCCAGCTAACATCTGCCTCTCTGTTTCCTTGATGAGGACTATAAACTTGGGCAAGATATGGTTGAGTTCCAACTGCTCTCTCTATGGAGGAACACATGGACACAGCCTATCTTGTATTGTCAAAGGCTTGTATTGTCACTGTGACCAGCACGGGTGACAGACCTGGACCAAACTTGGCACACATAACCCCCATGACCCCCTTTACGTCTGGTGAGGTTTGGGGGATGATGGACAAAGGATTATTGGATTTGTAGTACTTACAAACCCTTCGGTTCCCACAGACCACTGTGGGCCCCAACAAAAACCGATAAAGACCAAGCTAGGCACACAGAGCCCCCATGACCCACTCTACATCCTACTGCAGTTTGCAGAAGGGCTGACCATGGATGATGGGACTTGAAGTGCCTCCACTCACTTCCCAAGACCGCTGCGACCCTCATCCAATGACCAATCAAGACCAAACTTGGCACACATAACCCCCAATGACCTTCTTTACATCCTGGTGAGGGTTGGGGGAGGACGGACAATGGATGATGGGATTTGTAATACTTTCCCACCCCTTTTGTTCCCATAGACTATTGCGGCACCCAACAAAGACCAAACTTGGCACACAGAGCCCCCATGACCCACTCTACATCCTGGTGCGGTTTGGTGGAGGATAGACCACAGATGATGGGACTTGAAGTACCTTCACTCACTTCCCGAGACCGCTGCGAACCTCATCCAATAACTGATCAAGACCAAACTTGGCACACAGAGCCCCCATGACCCACTCTACATCCTGGTGCTGTTTGGAGGACGATGGACCATGGACTATGGGACTCGCAGTACCTTCACTAACTTCCTGAGAGCACTGCGAGCCACATAAATAACTGATAAAGACCAATCTTGGCACACAATGCCTTTCTCAAATAACCCGGGAAGTGCCGGGTCCCCAAGCTAGTATATATATATATATATAGAGAGAGAGACAAACACATACACACACATACACACAGATATATATTTGTGCAATGGCATGTCTTTGTCCCTGGCAGTTCAAAGACATGGCTTATCAGTTTAACAGCTGAGTTACCTGTGTGCCATTACACAAATTCTTGTGAACATCACTTGTTCAAAGGGTTGATTTCTAATAAGGTCATGTCTTTCCTTGACTCATGCTTTTCAAAAGGTGGTCTCCAGATGTTCATGGAGATTGCCAAAAAGATAGGATGTCATTTTTCCTTTTCAAAAAGGTTATGGAGGTCATTTCCCCAAAAGTTCGACACCCCTGATGGAAGTCTTTTGAATCGCCACGGCTCTTCAGAACCGATAATATTGGCATTACCTAAGATATAATACGGCTCCAGATCTCCTGCGTCCTCCTTCAGTATCTCGTAGGTGGCGGCCTGCACCATCTTGAGCATCTTCTGCAGGTCCTTGTGCTCGCAAGACGGCAGCTTCGGCCAGCGTCCGAGGTTGACGTCGAACACGGCGATGGCCCGGCCCTCCGGATCCCTCAGGGGAAAGGCGACGTGGTGCTCTTCGCAGGTGGAAGCCATGACCACCATGGAACAGTCGACGCACCTGAACAGGAAACCACTGGAACGGGAGATGGCCAGAGGGATCTCAGTGTCCGGATACTCAGACATTGTTTGTTTACGTACCTTTAACGTCGTTTCTCCTGAACCGACCTAAAGAAGTCGTCTTTCCTGTTGAGCACCGGAGCTGGAGAGGGATGGAGCTCAGACTTCTCCCTCAGATCTGACGTCATCACTTTGCGTAGGGTGTAGTCTTGCATCTTGAGGAGAGAAGAGCGAGAGAAGGTTCAGGGTGCATCAAGGCCTGGCCTTGGGCGGCAGATACACCAGGCATGGGCAGACTTCGGCCCTCAGGTGTTTTGACTTTGATTCCCACAATTCCTAACGGCCAGAAGGCCATTAGGAATTGTGGAAGTCGAAGTCCAAAACACCCGGAGGGCCAAAGTCTGCCCATGCCTGGTCAAACACTAGGAAGGACCATAATGCGTCGTGAAGCTTCTTTTCTATGATTTGATGGCTATCAAGGATGCCGAACACGTCGCTCGTTCCCACCAATGAATCTGGCTTGTGGAAGAGGATGGGAGTTGGAATCCGAACCACACTTGAGAGCCTTACCCGGTTCTCGCCGGGCTCCATGAAGTAGGTCGTGATGCTCTGAAGCCTGGTCGTCTGGTTGGAAATCCACCCCACCGCCGCGATGATCACCTGCTTGAGACAGTCCTGGGTGCGGATGTGGTGGTAGGCCGTGCTGAAGGTGTTTGCGGCCCCCTGAGAAGGAAGAACGAACCCTTCTAGGTGTTTGGGAGGGACGGATGGTTTATGAATGACATCAAATAGAGGCAGTCCCCAAGCTACGAACAAGATTGGTCCTGTAGGTTTGATCTCAAATTCAATTTGTATGTAAGTCAGAAAAGATATATATATATTTTAGTGTCACACCAGCCACATCTGTCTCTCAATTGCGCTGCTGTGTGCCATATGAGTTGATTAAGGGAGTCAGTGGGTGGGGTCATGCAATTGAGAGAGAAAGGAACCCTGGGAGGTGTCTTTGGTAGAGGAAAAATGTGTAGTCTAAATGCTTCCAATGTCCTCCCCAAACACTACAGCCCAACACCCAAGGAATGCTTTCATTCGTGGAGATTTGACGTGTTTTCTCCACCACAGGCAGGCATCCCAGGGTTCCTTGTGTGGAATTGGCATGACCCTGCCCACCACCTCTCTCTCTTAACCCTTCCCTATGGCACACAGCCAACACAGAGGAATTGTGGCAAAGGTGTCCACTTACACAGACAGCCTTCTGCCTCCACAAACTATAGCTTCTTTGTGGAGGCAGAAGCTATAGTTTCAAGTGCTGAGAAGCCTCCAAAGGCACTCCTTCCACTGACATTGCAGGTTAGAGTGAGCATCATGAACACGTAGTCCAAACGCTTCCAATGTCCTCCCCAAGCACTAAGGTCCACCACCCAAGGAATTCTTTCATTCGCGCAGAATTTCATCCTAGATTTGATGCTTTTCCTCCACCACAGGCAGGCATCCCAGGGTTCCTTGTGTGGGATTTGCATGACCCCACTCACTGCATCACCCTTTCCAATGCTTTCATTCATGGAGAATTTTACCCTAGATTTGTAGTGTTTCCTCCACTACAGGCAGGCATCCCAGGGTTCCTTGTGTGGAATTTGCATGACCCCACGCACTGCCTGTCCCTTAACCCTTTCCAATGCTTTCTTTCATGGAGAATTTCATCCTAGATTTGATGTATTTCCTCCACCACAGGCAGGCATCCCAGGGTTCCTTGTGTGGAATTTGCATGACCCCACCCACTGCCTCTCCCTTAATCCTTTCCAATGCTTTCATTCACGGAGTATTTCATCCTAGATTTGATGTGTTTCCTCCACCACAGGCAGGCATCCCAGGGTTCCTTTTGTGGGATTTGCATGACCCCACCCACTGCCTCTCCCTTAAGCCTTTCCAATGCTTTCATTCACAGATAATTTCATCCTGGATTTGATGTGTTTCCTCCCCCACAGGCAGGCATCCCAGGGTTCCTTGTGTGGGATTTGCATGACCCCACACACTGCCTCTCCTTAACCCTTTCCTACCCTTTCCCATGACCTCGCCCACTGCCTCTCCCTTAACCCTTTCCAATGCTTTCATTCACATGGATAATTTCATCCTAGATTTGATGTATTTCCTCCACCACAGGCAGGCATCCCAGGGTTCCTCGTGTGGGATTTGGATGATCCCGCCCACTGCCTCTCCCTTAACACTTTCCAATATTTTCCTTCACAGATAATTTCATTCTAGATTTGATGTGTTTCCTTCACCACAGGCAGGCATCCCAGGGTTCTCCCAGGGTTCCTTGTGTGGAACCCTTTCCTACCCTTTCCTATGGCACACAGCAAACACAGAGGAATTGATCAGCAACTGAACAGACTGGAGGGGTTTGGGAGGGCTGACTCAACAGGATGGAAGTTGTAGTTCACCCTGCATCAAGGCAAAGCATGGGGACCCACCCCTCACCCTGGGAGCACTGAACCGAACCGATGACAGATCTGGACCAAGTGTGGCACACCATGTTTGTAGGAACGAGTGCGTCTCCGACATCCCTTTCCCAGATTCCCCGCACCTGATAGAAACGGATTTCGTGGGGGACGAAGATAGTCTGGTCGCTCTTGTCCCGGAGGGTGTCCAGCCCCAGAACGCCGAAGACCCTCCTTCGGACATCCTCCAGCGGCAGGACCAAGAACGAGCCCATCCTCTCCTTCGGGAGTCGGTCGTGGTTCCAGAACTGGATGTTTCCGTGCAGCTGGACGCGGGGGACGTGGATGGGCTTGTCCTGCAGGGCTGCGGCAAAGCTGGGAGGAGAGAGGATGGCAGCGAGAAGGAGGACAAAGAGGAGAGTTGGTGAGTCACCTACCCAAGGAGAACATGGCAGGAAGGCTTGGGAAGGGGTCCTCCTCACCTGATTCCTTTCATATCCATGAAGAGCGCCTTGTTGAGGACGTAAGGGGCATCATCTTCGGTGCAAGCCACGTAACGCAGGAGGATGTCCCCCCGAGCTGGGTTGATGAGGTTGTATTCCAGGAGGGCCACGGAAGCACTGATCCTTTTGCTCTTCCCGTGGGCATCTGCATCCTGACAACACAGGGCAAGGTGCATGACTTGATGGTCTATACCAGTGGTTCTCCAGTGGTTCTCAGTTCACCTACAATCAAACAGCACTCTGAACTCCACCAATAATGGAATTGAACCAAACTTGGCACTCTGAACTCCCATGACCAACAGAAAATACTGGAAGGGTTTGGTGGGCATTGACCTTGACATTTGGGAGTTGTAGTTGTTGGGATTTATAGTTCACCTACAATCAAAGAGCACTCTGAACTCCACCAATGATGGAATTGAACCAAGCTTGGCTCAAAGAACTCCCATGACCAACAGAAAATCCTGGAAGGGTTTGGTGGGCATTGACCTTGAGTTTGGGAGTTATAGTTCACCTACATCCAGAGGGCACTGTGGATTCACACAATGATGGATCTGGACCAAACTTGACACGAATACTCAATATGTCCAAATATGAACACAGATGGAGTTTGGGGGAAATAGACCTTGACATTTGGGAGTTGTAGTTATTGGATTTATAGTTCACCTACAATCAAAGAGCATTCTGAACTCCACTAATGATGGAATTGAACCAAACTTGGCACACAGAACTTCCATGACCAACAGAAAATACTGGAAGGGTTTGGTGGGCATTGACCTTGAGTTTGGGAGTTGTAGTTTACACCTACATCCAGAGAGCACTGTGGACTCAAACAATGATGGATCTGGACCAAACTTGGCACAAATACTCAATATGCCCAAATGTGAACACTGACGGAGTTTGGGGAAAATAGACCTTGACATCTGGGAGTTGTCGTTGCTGGGATTTATAGTTCACCTCCAATCAAAGAGCATTCTGAACCCCACCAACAACAGAATTGGGCCAAACTTCCCATACAGAACCCTCATGCCTTGAAGGGACTTGCTGGCGCGATCCTCTCTCCAGCCTCACATGCTCTCCCTCACCTGCACATACGCCGAGCATGCCTACTCTCCCCTCCCCACTGGAGTCTCAGAAGTAGCCCTCCCTTTGACTGAGAAGCCAGCCAATCACAGTGGAGGAGGTCTTTTGGTGGGAGGATTCACCATGTTTCCAAAAAGGAAGAGAAGGACAGGTGGAGAGATCTTCAACCTTCTCTGCCAAAGGAGTTCCTAAGACCATCAGAAATATATGTTTTCTGATGGTCTTTGATGACCCCTCCGTCTCAGAGGGGACTTGACCCCCCAGGTTGAAGGAAGGATCCTCCACCGGACACTGTTGAACAACTCTTCCAATGATCAGGAAGTTCTTCCAGATGTTCAGGTGGAATCTCCTTCCCTGTCATCTGAACCCATGGCTCCATTGAGTCCTAGTCAAGCCTGATTAATATGGAGACATGGTTCTCATGGCTCTTCTCAACCTTCTAAGTGAGCCTCTGAAGCATCAATGCCTGGGACCAACCCAGGGGTCTCAACCCCCAGGTTGAAGGAAGGAGCCTCCACCGGACACTGTTGAACAACTCTTCCAAGGATCAGGAAGTTCTTCCAGATGTTCAGGTGGAATCTCCTTCCCTGTCATCTGAACCCATGGCTCCATTGAGTCCTAGTCAAGCCTGATTAATATGGAGACATGGTTCTCATGGCTCTTCTCAACCTTCTAAGTGAGCCTCTGAAGCATCAATGCCTGGGACCAACCCAGGGGTCTCAACCCCCAGGTTGAAGGAAGGAGCCTCCACCGGACACTGTTGAACAACTCTTCCAAGGATCAGGAAGTTCTTCCAGATGTTCAGGTGGAATCTCCTTCCCTGTCATCTGAACCCATGGCTCCATTGAGTCCTAGTCAAGCCTGATTAATATGGAGACATGGTTCTCATGGCTCTTCTCAACCTTCTAAGTGAGCCTCTGAAGCATCAATGCCTGGGACCAACCCAGGGGTCTCAACCCCCAGGTTGAAGGAAGGAGCCTCCACCGGACACTGTTGAACAACTCTTCCAACAATCAGGAAGTTCTTCCAGATGTTCAGGTGGAATCTCCTTCCCTGTCATCTGAACCCATGGCTCCATTGAGTCCTAGTCAAGCCTGCTTAATATGGAGACATGGTTCTCATGGCTCTTCTCAACCTTCTAAGTGAGCCTCTGAAGCATCAACATCTGGGACCAACCCGAGAAAGGGTCTTGAAGAGGGCCTGGTAGACGGGCTCCATGCACCCGCCGCTGACTTTGGCCGTCTGCTCGATCCCCAGGAGCCACTTCCTCCGGGCGCTCCCTCGCAGCCGCTCCAGGTGGGTCCAGTCCACGGCCATCATGAGGAACTCCACCAGGTTGTCCAGGACCTCGTCCTCGTTGCCCGTCAGCTCCGAGACCACCAACTCCATGTAGGTCTGGAAGTCCTTGCAGGGGAGCTTCACGATCCCACTGGGATGCCACTGTGGGATGGGCAGCTGGAGCTTGGCTGGAGGAGGAAAGGCTGGTGTTTGTCACTCAAGAGATTACCTGAAGTCCTTCAACACATTGGTGAGATTTTTATGTCCTACTTCAGATACGCTTCCTTTCACACAAGGGGGCGCCCTTACACAGAGTTGTAAACTTTCCAGACTACAATCTAGAGGAGAGAGACATCCTATACCAGTGGTTCTCAACCTTCCTAATGCGGAGACCCCTTAATCCAGTTCCTCGTGTGGTGGTGACCCCCAACCCATAGCATTATTTTGGTTGCTACTTCATAACTGTAATTTTACTACTGTTATGAATCGTCATGTAAATATCTGATCTGGAGGATGTATTTTCATTCACTGGACACAATTTGGCACAAATACCCGATACACCCACATCTGAATACTGGTGTGGTTGGGGTGATTTTTTATTTGGGAGTTGTAGTTGCTGGGATTTATAGTTCACCTACAATCAAAGAGCATTCTGAACTCCACCAATGATGGAATTGAACCAAACTTGGCACACAGAACTCCCATGACCAAGAGAAAATACTGGAAGAGTTTGGTGGGCATTGACCTTGAGTTTTGGAGTTGTAGTTCACCTACATCCAGAGAGCACTGTGGACTCAAACAATGATGGATCTGGACCAAACATGACATGAATCCTCAATATGCCCAAATGGAACACTGATGGAGTTTAGAGAAAATAGAATCTTGACATTTGGGAGTTGTAGTTGCTGGGATTTATAGTTCACCTACAATCAAAGAGCATTCTGAACTCCACCAACAATGGAATTGAACCAAACTTGGCACACAGAACTCCCATGACCAACAGAAAATACTGTAAGAGTTTGGTGGGCATTGACCTTGAGTTTGGGAGTTGTAGTTCACCTACATCCAGAGAGCACTGTGGACTCAAACAATGATGGATCTGGACCAAACTTGGCATGGATAATCAATATGCCAAATGTGAACACTGGTGGAGTTTGAGGAAAATAGACCTTGACATTTGGGAATTGTAGTTGCTGGGATTTATAAAATAAAAGAACACTCTGAACCCAGTCCATGATGAATCTGCATCAAACTTGGCACACTACCTACATGACCAACATTGAATACTGGTGGGGTTGGGAGATGTTTTTGAATTTTGGGAGTTGTAGTTCACCAACACCAAAAAGAAAGAGAAGGACGGGCGGAGAGATCTTCAGCCTTCTTTGCCAAAGGGTTCCTAATACCATCAGAAATACATGGCAGAATGGGGTTGGACTGGATGGCCCAGGAGATCTCTTCCAACTCTATGGTTCTATGATGTGACTAGCTGTACCTGCCACGCGTTGCTGTGGCCAACCTTCCCTCCCTCTTTCTCTCCTTTCTTTCTCTCCTTCCTTCCCTCTTTTTCTTTCCCTTCTTCTTTCTTCCTTCTCTACCTGTTTCTTTCTCACTTCCTTTGCTCTTTGGTTCCATCCTTCCTTCTCTTTCCTCTTCCTTCCTTCCCTCTTTTCCCTTCCTTCCTTCTCCTTCCCTCCTCTTTTCTTTTCCTTCTTCTTTCTTCCTTCTCTACCTGTTTCTTTCCTTCCTTTGCTCTTTGGTTCATCCTCCTTGTCTCTTCCTTCCTTCCTCCCTCTTTCCTTCACTTCCCTCCCTCATTCCTTCCCTCTTTTTCTTTCCCTTCTTCCTTCCTTCTCTGTTTCTTTCCTCCCTTCCTTTGCTCTTTGGTTCCATCCTTCCTTGTCTCTTTCCTTCCTTCCTTCCCTCCCTCTTTCTCTCCTTCACTTCCCTCTCTCTTTCCTTCCCTCCCTCTTTTTCTTTCCCTTCTTCTTTCTTCCTTCTCTACCTGTTTCTTTCCTCCCTTCCTTTGCTCTTTGGTTCCATCCTTCCTTGTCTCTTTCCTTCCTTCCTTCCTTCCTTTCTTCCTTTCTTCCTTCCTTCCTTCCTTCCTTCCCTCTCTCGTTCTCTTTTGTTTCTTCTCTCCTTCCTTCCCTCTTTTACTTTTTTATTTCCTTCTCTCCTTCCTTCCTTCCCTCCTTCCTTCCTTCCTTCCTTCCTTCCTCTTCCTTCCCTCCCTCTTTTTCTCCCTTCTTCTTCCTTCTTCTCTATTTCTTTGCTCCCTTCCTTTGCTCTTTGGTTCCATTCCTTCCTTGTCTCTTTCCTTCCTTCCTTCCCTCCCTCTTTCTCTCCTTCACTTCCCTCTCTCTTTCCTTCCCTCCCTCTTTTTCTTTCCCTTCTTCTTTCTTCCTTCTCTACCTGTTTCTTTTCTCGCTTCCTTTGCTCTTTGGTTCCATCCTTCCTTGTCTCTTTCCTTCCTTCCCTCCCTCTTTCTCTCTTTCGTTCCTTCTCTCCTTCCTTCCCTCTTTCACTTTTTTTTTTCTTCCTTCTCTACCTGTTTCTTTTCTCACTTCCTTTGCTCTTTGGTTCCATCCTTCCTTGTCTCTTTCCTTCCTTCCTTCCTTCCCTCCCTCTTTCTCTCTTTCGTTCCTTCTCTTCTTCCTTCCCTCTCTCTTTCCTTCCTTCTTTCACGTTTTAATTTCCTTCTCTCCTTTCCTTTTCTACCTTTCTTTCTTTCCTTCCTTCCCTCCTTCTTTCCCTCTTTCTCTTCTTCTCTGCAAAAGGCATGGCCAAATCAAACACAAGCAATTAACCATGCAAAGAAAGGAAATTTGAGCTTCTGGTACAGCCATATCAGCACAGGGTACGGCCCTCCAGGAAGGATTGGAGCCACTGCAGAACAGTCCCTCCAAGACCCACCCGGGACATCATCCCACAGATATAGAAACCCCATTTGCCTAGTTCCCAACAGATTTGCACAACCTCTGAGGATGCCTGCCATAGATGTGGGTGAAACGTCAGGAGAGAATGCTTCCAGAACATGGCCAGACAGCCTGGTAAACTTACACGACAACCCAGACTGTATAAGTGTTTTGTTTTCAACAGGACTGATCTCAAAGTGCCCCATTGTGTTCTCTGCAAGGGACAGAGAGGGCCACCTGCCTCTTACCTTTATTGAGGGCCTCCTGCTCCATCCCTTCCTTGAAGGTGGAGAGAATGGCGTCCACCTCCTTTATGTCCAAAAACCCCGAGCATTCGTTGTCCCATTTCTCAAAGAGGGCCGCCAAGAGCAGCTGCTTCCAAGCCACGAAGGATCTTTGATGGATCTGAAAGGGAAAGAAGAGAAGCGAACGCACACCTCAAGGTGACTTCCCAACAAGAGAGACATCCCAAGTGGGAGAACATTCGTATTTGTTGAATGGAGGAACCAGGCCAAACGATACTACGCTATCTCCTCCGCTTACTTGCTCCAGCTGCTTGATCTTCTCGCTCTCCGTCTGGACGTATCCGTCCTTCACAAACTCCACCATCTTCTTCAGGTTTGGCAGGGACGTTTCCTCGCCCACGAAGGTCTCCAGGAGCTGGACAAACTGGGGCAGGTCGAGAGAGCCCCTCTCGAAAGCAGACATGGAGGACGGGGGTCCGCGGGCCTGGATCTCCACCATGTTCATGCGCAAGTCTGGAAGAGACCGCCAAGTGGCACAAGGCTCATGCCGAGATTTGGAAAGAGGCTTGCTTAGGTACCATGTTTGGTCCAGATCCATCATCAGTGGGATTCACAGTGCTCTCTGGGTCTGGGTGAACTACAACTCCCATTATCCCAGGTCAATTCCCCCCAAACCCCTCCAGTGTATACAGTTGGTTATCTATATATATAAATTTGTTAGGGGCATCCAACGAGGAAACAAAACTCAAAACACCCCAACGAAACTTAACCAAAATTCCCATGCCCATAACACAACCCACAAGGTACAAACATCTCTACTCAAAATGAAAAACAACACAACAACACACTCACAACGGCAAAAAAACAAAACTCAAAAAAACCCCAACGAAACTTAACCAAAATTCCCATGCCCATAACACAACCCACAAGGTACAAACATATCTACTCAAAATGAAAAACAACACAACAACACACTCACAAAACGGCAAAACAACAAAACTCAAAAATCCCCCAACGAAACTTAACCAAAATTCCCATGCCCATAACACAACCCACAAGGTACAAACATATCTACTCAAAATGAAAAACAACACAACAACACACTCACAAAACGGCAAAAGGATAAAACTCTAAAAAACCAACGAAACTTAACCAAAATTCCCATGCTCATAACACAACCCACAAGGTACAAACATATTACTCAAAATGAAAAACAACACAACAACACTCACAAAACGGCAAAAAACAAAACTCAAAAAACCCCAACGAAACTTAACCAAAATTCCCATGCCCATAACACAACCCACAAGGTACAAACATATCTACTCAAAATGAAAACAACACAACAACACACTCACAAAACGGCAAAACAACTGAGCATGCGCATTGGCGCCCAGCCGCAAGTTCCCTGGCGCGCGCACATGCCCTTCCGGCCAACGTTCCCTCTGCGGAAACCATGCCCACTGCAAGCCCCGCCGCGCCGCTTCCCGCACACACACACACCCCTGCCGCACATACACACACAACCCCACACTCCATCACTCTCCCCGCCGCCGCACACA